GTGGTCTGTCAACTGTAACCAAATTGTTGTATTTCACACCAACGTGAAACCCATTGTCGTAATCAAGTGGCTACATGTGGCCACTTGGGTGTAACCCCGTTACAATTTTGTAATGCGCATTCTCTGTGATCCGTGTCGAAGTCCAGCAGCCTGGTATTGTCAATCCTCACAACTTGTTAGATTTCTCGAAGCACGATAAACCCTCCAATGATTAAAACCAAGTGCAAATAAAGGCTCTCTCGCAAATCAAGAAAGTCCCAGCCAAGAGCCTGCCGACGTTCCCCCTCATCAGGTTAAGGTTTTAAACATTTTCTAGTGATTCTTCAGGTAAAGTAGACACAAAATTAATGTCTGTGAGTTCTGTAAATTCTCTATAAGAATTTGAGGGAAATTGCATGCGTACCGCTGCAGTGTCTTGGGTATCCTAGAAGGTTCAGCGATGTCGTTTACTTGAAATCCCACTCCCTCGATCCATTCGGTAGAGTCCTGCGTCAACTTGACGTTTTTCCTCACCGTCACCTCGTCTTGCTTTAACTTCAGTTGTTCGTACGTAACGCATGCGTAGTCATCCATCTCTTCAATAAACCTAGCTTGTCCTCGATGGCTCGCCTGAATAGCATGTGAAACCCTCTCATTTTGTGAAACTGCCTAGACAACAGGAGTAGGCTGGATAATATTGAATCTACGCACCGGGGACCAATCTTGGGTCTTAACAGTAGGAGTCCATCCTGCCGGCTAGTGGTATAGTTGTCCGTTTCGTGTACGATCTTAGAATTCGCAAGTGAGATAGTCTTACAGCCATACCATAAAATCTCCGACCTCCGACCTCTCCGACCTGTACCATAAAGCTGGCACATAAATGTAGAACACATGAAATTTGTGTAAATGATGCGTTTGAGAGTAGGGGAACGAAAACAGTGATAGGAATGCCAGAGAGCAAGTTTTGTGTCGAGTTTACAGGCGACAGGAAATCGCCTGAAACGCTCTGTGAGCTGAGAAAATCGCGATTTTCTGTTTCTTAGTATTTTGATGCAACTTTAACTCAGGAGCACTGTGCTCTAGAGCCGATAAATTCAGAAATGAGCCCGTGCTTTTTTGATCGTCCGGATAAAAAAGA